TGCACCATTTCTTAGTGTCCCATCCATTAGTGTTCCTGCCAATGATGCTGACTCGCATCTCGCCCTTAGCTATTAACCTGAGATATTCCCGACACTCGGCACGGCTGGATGGCAAGTACTCGACTACTTCAGTCTTCATGTCCGTTGTTCAAGGAGTGGTCAAGGACACGTGGCTTAAAAGAAATGAGGCAAAAGGAGAATCACTCGGAGGGGTGGCGTGAGTTCGAGTTCATGCTGCCCCGTGCTCAACCGACAGCAGCTGCATCACAACACACACCAAACGAGATACTGAGTCTCCAGGCGCAGTTTTCACATGTAATCAAACTGCAGACATCTTCACCGTTCAACGGGCACGACTTTTTTACCTGGAGTTTTGAGTTCGAGCTGCTGATGGAGGCCGCGCACCTCTTGGGATACTTCAACGGGTCCCTGCCATTTCCAAGCAATGGCACTGCAAAGGAGCAGGAAATCTTCACTTATCAGTCGCTGTTAGCGTACACAGTTCTTCTGCGAAATCTGTCACCACAAGAGCAACAGAGCATCAGAACGTATCGGAGCTACGGAATCTCCGCGGAGCTCGCCTGGCATCATCTGAAGTGTCTTTATTAAGCAAACAACAGCGTGACACAAAGCAGACTCATGCAGCAGTTGACAACAATACAAATGACGACCGGGGAAAAGGCGATGCAGTATATGAGTCGCAACCAGACACTCCACGACCGCCTGCTTCGGTGCGGAGGTACAATCACTGAGGAAAGCTTCGTGACACTAGTTCTCGCCGGGCTCGGACCAGAATGGAGAACCACCCGCTCGCTCCTTCGCGCCCACGGACGAATTTCCGAGATGCACCTCTGCGCCGAACTTCATGCCGAACAACAGGAGATGGATTTGTTCGAAGAAAGACAACCAAGAAACAACCAGCAACCATTAGTCTTCTATAATCAACGGAGAAACGACAACAACTACAACCGACGTGATAAGCAGAACCGAAATGACACCAGAGGACTCACCATTGTGCCGCCGTTCTGCCACAACTGTCAGACATCCGGGCACTCCAAAGTCAACTGTACACGCCCTCGAGTTTATCGTCCAGCAGACCCACAAGTCGCCTCCACTCAAGAGAATCCGCCAAGCCGCTCCTCTACAACTGCACAAGGCGCACCGAACATTAGTAACTGCATGGTGCGCATCGACAACTGCACACCTGGATCACCACCCACTTACGCTCCAGACGAAGAAGAACTGCCGCCGCCACGCTCACAAGGTCTCCAGGTCAACCCGACGTACGCTGCAGTCGCCAACGCCGAACCCACCGGGCGAAACACCTGGTTCTTGGACAGTTGTTGCGGCCAACATATGTGTTCTTCCGGGCGCTTCGTGCAACGAGAGCAATGCCTCAACTGCGATGTTATCATCACCGTCGCCAACAATGAGAACCTGAAAACAAATAGACAAGGCGTCGTTCAACTTCAGTCAATGGAGACAAACGTCATACTCCAACTCCACAAAGTTCTCATCGTCGACAACTTGGGATACAATCTACTAAGCGTCAGCCAGTTAATGACGAAGGGAATTCACCTGGAATGCGACTCGGACGACAACGAGTTTCGACTTTACCACGGGAAGGGCGGGCTCTTCATCGGTCGCGCTCTCCTGAAGTCGGGCGTCTTCGTGCTGGACTTCGTCCCCGACCGCGAAACTGCCGACAGCGATGGCATCGTGTCGTTCGCCGCCTGGACGCACCCGCCGGATCTTGACCCCGACTTCACTCCAGGGGGATTTTGGTGCTCCAACACCATCCCTACAGCAGAAAGAACACACGCATTAGCAGTCATTCATGAAGAACGACAAGTACCAGCAAGTACACCTTCCTCGACATCACCTGTAGTAACGACAGCAGGACCCAGCCGCGCGCCACCACCAACAATCCAAGGACCACCATCCGAAGCAGATCAACTCATGCCCATCACCCGAGAAGTTTGCCGCAGTCCCGCCACGGTCGTCGCGTTCTTCTCCAACGCCGACGTGTACCAGCGCTCACCCGGCCATCGCGCTCCCGACGACATCTGGCATCAACGCCTCGGACACCCTGCAAACAGCACAGTACTACAAACCATACAAGGCGGAGTATTAGAAAAGGGCGCTCTTCTCACAACGAGCGGCCAGGAGCTTCGACGACCCCGCGCACGATGATTCACGTGTCCTGAAGCTGATCTTCCCCACCAACCCTTCCCATCGCACCACAATCCAAGCGCACCTGCATACGCACCGATGGAAAAGGTTTACAGCGACATCTTAAATATGTCTCGAGACAACAGTGAAGCAGAGTACAACTATGTCATCACGTTCATCGACGCAGCAACAAGATACGTCTGGCACTACAATCTCAAGACACGTGATCAAGCGTTCGAAGCCTTCACGATGTGGCTCCCCATCGCTGAACGAGAATCGGGCACCCAACTCAAGAGCTTCCAGTCCGACGGGGCACTGGAGTACCAGTCACAAAGGTTCAGGAGCTAACTGGCAGAAAGAGGCATCAGACGACTGGTGTCTCTGCCATACGCTCACCAGCAGCAGGGGGGCGCAGAGAGGATGAACCGGACCTTGCAGACGACGATGCAAAAGCTGCTCCTGGGGATGAGACTGCCCACCATACTGTGGCCTGACGCGATGACGCATGCAGTCCACCTCCACAACTTGCTGTCCTCGACATCACTTCCCAACAACGCATCACCGCACCTGCTGTGGACAGGAAAACAGGGCAGCACAAAATTACTTCGAGTCTTCGGCTACATGGTACAGTACAGACCCCACACAGCCTGAGCAGGACGATTCTCTCAACGAGCACGATGGGGACTACACCTCGGCATCGCAAAACATTTCCAAGCATGGAGACTTCTCGACATTCAGGACAAAACCACCGTGGCCTCACGTGATGTGATCTTCTACGAGAGACTGACGCTGCAGCATTACCTGGACAACATCGCCAACACAACAGACCCCACCGACGGCTTCACGGGCCATCGGTCCTTCGCCGACTGTGCTGCCGAAGCTGACGCAGCAGAAGAAAACGTACCTGAAGCCTCGGAAGCTGCCGGACCACTCCCTTACTGTTCCGTGCCCGTTCCACTCGACAACGACAATCCTCTCGATAGTAACAACCTCGACACCTATTACCACTTCGCTGACCAAGGTTACACTACACCTCAACCGGTCGACACAAATATCTCTGAACGCATCGGACCCAATTTCTTACCTGACCCCGAAGATGGTGACGAAGCAGCTTATCCCGAGAATGAAAATTCCCCTTGACACACAACCACGGGCCTGCAGATACTTGGACTATGGGTCGCCGTCCAGAGCCCGCTCCCGCCGTCGCCGCGCGAGCCAACGACTATGTCGCAGGCTCTGGGGGAGGAACACAAGGCAAAATGGAAGGAAGCAATGGAAAAGGAACTGAAGGCCCTGCAAGACCGAAATACGTGGAAGCTGGTACCTGCAACAAAAACCAATGGGAAGGACGTGCTCTCGGGGAAATGAGTGTACTGCATCAAGACTAATGCGGATGGCTCCATCGACCGCTTCAAGGCTCGCTGGCTTGTATGAGGATTCGACCAGCGATACGGAACCGACTACACAGAGACATTCGCCCTAGTCTCCCGACATACCTCCCTGCGCATTCTGCTCGTTGTCGCGGCCACGAAAAGGCTACCACTACGCCCGATTGATCTCGCCAACACCTTCCTGTACGCACTTGTGGACGCCGAAATCTTCGTCGAGCAGCCCCACGGATTCATCGACGATCCCACAAAAGTGTGCCAGCTGGTAAAATCCCTCTACGGAATCAAACAAGCCCCGCGGCTCTGGCAGCAGCACCTTCACAATCGCCTTGTCAGGATCGGCTTCCTGCAACTACCGCACGATCAAGGGATGTACCGTCTACAGAAGGGGGGGGATTTCATCATACTCATCGTCTACGTCGATGACCTGTTCTACGCCAGCTCCACTACCAGCGTTGTCACCTGGTTCGAAGGGGAGCTGAGGAGTGACTTAACACTCACGGTGTCAGACACCGTGAGCCAGTACGTAGGTCTGAACGTTGTCGAAGACGACTCGGCGTTCTACCTACACGTCGGAAAGTACGCAGGCGTTGTCGCGAAGAAATTCGGACTAACGCCGGTCGCGGTCGCGACTCCCTATCGCTACGGGAACAACAGCGACACCTCCGCAAAGCTCCTTGCGAAGCAAATCCAGGAATATCAGCAGAAGCTCGGCTGTCTACTGTTCGCAGCAGTAACCTGCCGACCGGATCTGTCCTACAGCGCGAGCCAACTGGCGACATACCTGAAGCAGCCGGAGCAAGAGGATCTCGAGGAGCTAAATCGGGCACTACTCTACTTCGTCTCTACGCCGACGACCGGACTTACCTATAGCAAAGTAACGCCATCGTCCGTACAACTACTCGGCTATGTCGACGCCGACCACGCAGGAGATAGGGAGAACCGTCGCTCCATAACGGGCTACATCTACCGAGTAGAGCTTAGCTAGGAAGCTAGGAAAGGCATGAGGTTTAGCTAGGAGGAGCCATGGAGTGGCGTGAGGTTTAGGAAGGAGAAAAGATGAGGAGAGAAAAGGGTGTTAGGAAAGAAGAGAGGGGGATATAAGGAGGGGTGTTGTACCCCCTACAGTAATGTTCAGTAACATCTAATCTACCAAGCCTACACATTATATAACTCAATATATAATTTTAACAACATTACACTTGAGAAAAAGTCGTATCGAGTACGCGAGTCAAACGGAGGTTACACAAGGAGGTTGAACGAAAGAACACGAAAGGACGAAGGGACTCGAAGGATCGCAACCGGAGGTTGCGATTAACAGTTGCGACTGCAAGGATGGTAATCAAACAGACAATCGAGTCGCTGTGCGACTCGATAACTGTTTCTTCAACTGTATTCTACAACTGCTTCATTTCTTACTTTCTATATATGGCTGTATGTCTTAGAAACTTGGGACTAAAGGTTCTTAAACTTAGGAGGCTAGGTTGGCTAGGTTACTAGGAAGAAGACCGCCATGGAATGGCGTGAGGAAAAACGGATCTAGGAGGTGAGAGGATGTCGAGAAGAAAGGGGATTGGATTAGGAAGAGAGGGGAGTACAAGGAGGGGTTTGTACCCCCTACAAAAAGGTTCAGTAACAACCTACCAAGCCTATATTAAATTATAACTTATATAATTTTAACCGTATGCTTGTTCCTTCTAATCAATCACTTGCTCTCACATACTAGTGCAAGGGTTCAACTACTCAACACTTCCGCTGCACTACTCAAGCATCTTGTACAAGTGAAACTTAGTCTCTGGAAAGATCCTAAGGGCTTTTCTCAGCCCAACAAAAGGAATACCTGCTCTTTACAAAAACTGTATCGAAGCAACACATATGGGTGATTGGAAAAATATGTTGGTTACAACAAAAACGGGAAAATCGGTAGCAAACATTACATAGCAAAACGGGAGAAATGAGCCATTTTGAGGATGTGGAAACCTGTGTTGGCCAATGGCTGCGCAACTTTTAGTTTTACCTAAACGCCTTTCTTGTAAGTTGTGTTAGTGTTTCGTCAACAAACATGTATAATAACCCCATAATACCTCCTAGAACCGCAGAGAAACGTGACAAAAAAAACCCAGAACCAATCAGCACCACACAAAGGGTCATCCACATTTTGACAACACACGTGACCAACCAAATGTCGCCCTTGGAAATGCCTGCCAGGAACTCCGACTGCATTTAGGTAGTTACCTCGCTGACATCAACTAGGCTTCATACTCTTATTCACCCATATCATGGTCCCATTTCCTCTAAGCCGACGTCTTTCTTCGTAAACGAGCATATGAGCACCGAGCGTGGGGAAGTCGAGCCGATGCGGGACCGAAGACTGGGGACAAATCCCACCTGAATGTGCTGAACCTAGAAAAATCTCGATAATTGCAGCGAGGAACAAGTTCACTGTAGCAGATGATGGACCCAATCGGCATGCTCTGAGCGGCATCCAATCGGCGTTCGCGGTCGGGGTTAACACGCGAGAGGGGGGATCTTATGATGGAGTCCCGAATCTTCCCGGGTGTTCTGTTCGCCGTCGCTCTGGCCTTAGCCGTTCTCTCCCCAAAGGTCACCCTCCTGTTCCTGTCATACGTTGGCCTTCAATTAACCCCCCGTGCGATACTCATTTACAATCAGTTGTTCTGTCACCATTGAGCTTCACAAAGTTTTCTACTTTTTTTTCTCCTCTCTGGCTTGCCTCACTTTTGCATGTGTTGACTGACTGTGTTACCATACTTCGCCTGTGTTCGTGTACCTGCTGGAGGATGGATGGGAGGAGCTGAGGGGAGGGATGGAGGATTGCGTACGGGGTAAGGATGGTGGGGGGGAGGAGGGGGGTTTGAGCGGGGTCAGGGTCAGGAGGTGGTGGGTGGCTTGGGGAAGGGCGTGCTTGCATGGGCAGGCGTATCTGTGCAGGTCGCATCTGGAGCACTGGTCAAATCGGATCGAATCAAACCGGATCACATGGGGTCCGATCGCTCTCACTCAGAAGATGTGATTGGCCAAGTGGTGGAGTTTGAACAGGAGATTCAAGCCGTGGAGGGGAAAAGACGCCCCGGTGGAATAGGCATTATCCGAGAGGGGGCGACAGGATGGGACGACCAGAGGGGTGAACCGGTTCAAGGGGAGCAACCGAGACACCAGCAGCAGCAGCACCAGCAGCAGCAACAAGAGGAAGGGCACGAGGAACAGCAAGAGATGCTGTTATGGCCAGATAGTAGGAGTGGAGCGGCTTTTGAGATTCCCCAAAGGTCACTGCCTGATGACAGGAGTGAGAATGGAAGCACAGGAGGCACACGGGAAATGGGGCGAAGCTGGTGGAGGTGGGATGCGGGGAAGGGCGAACTGGTGCAGAGGGAAGGGCCGGAGGGGCTGGCTAACGGGCAGGAAACACTTTTGTGGCTGCCCGAGATCGTCTATGAGGATCTGGAGCTCATGGACTTAAGATATTTCCTGGTGGGTGAGATACATTTAGGTGGGTGACTTACTTCGTAAGTAATATACTTCCAGGTGGGTGAGATTGAGTCAACACGTGCATTGACAGCCCATGCCATGCCATGCTCTAACGCCCTCGCCCCCAGTGACAGCCCATTTCATGCCCCAAACGCCCTTTCCCATACAATTCTACACCATTTTTACCACTTCTTCTCCCCCTCCACTCGTTTCCTTTCCTCTATCCCTGCCCTCCTCTCGCTCTCCTCCCCTTCCCCCTCCTTAGGGCATGCACTGCCCTGCCCCTGCCTGTCCGTCCTTCCTTGCTGGTAGGGGTGAATCAGAAACACCTTCAAACCCTCCACCTCCCTTCATTCCCCCTTCCCTTCCCTGCCCCACTTTTCAGGGCCTGCACTGCCCTGCCCCTGTCTGTCCGTCCTTCTCTCGCTGCCGCACGGGCCGCAGGCAAGCAGGGAGGGTGCTGGCATGCAATGGGAGCGACTCCTTATTGAGTGACTCATTATCGGACAGCGGTGGTTCAAACCGAATGGCTTTGGTGGACGCTTATCCTGTGCTCACCTCGCCGCCCCCCAACCACGTGAAGGAGAATGCGAGCTATGACGTGGCCGTTGCTGAGCCCTTTGCCGCACAGGTGAGGAAGAGTATATGTGGTTGATTTTTTAGAATTCTCAAAAATCACCTATAAGAGTATATGTGGTTGATTTTTTAGAATTCTCAAAAATCACCTATAAGAGTATATGTGGTTGATTTTTTAGAATTCTCAAAAATCACCTATAAGAGTATATGTGGTTTGGTTGACTATGCTCGCCTTGCCTCCCCCCAACCACGTGAAAGAGAATGCGAGCTACAAGGTGGCTGTTGCTGAGCCCTCTGCTGCACAGGTGAATGAGGGTACTGGTGTGATTGTGGGGAGCCAATGTGGTGGGGCTGTGGGCACCGGATTGGGGGAGAGTGCGTGTGGGGAAGTAGGCACGGTGTGGTTGTGCTCACCTCGCCGCCCCCCAACCATGTGAAAAAGAAGGTGCCTTACTCCCTGGTTTCAACTGCTTTTTGTGTGCTGCCTTCAAGTGGTGACGTTTTTGTGTGTGCTGCCTTCAAATGGTGACGTTTTTGTGTGTGCTGCCTTCAAATGGTGACGTTTTTGTGTGTGTGTGCGTGCGTGCTACCTTCAGGTGTTTCTTTTAGAGAACGCCTTCATCAATGACCGAGGCATGGTGTTTGATGGCATGTACCACTACCGCCATGGGCTGCTGTGCAGGTATGCTATGTATGCTATCTATGCAGGTATGCATGTATGCTATGTATGCTATCTATGCATGTATGCTATGTATGCTATCTATGCATGTATGCTATCTATGGTATGTATGCTATCTATGCATGTATCCTATGTATGCTACGTATGCTATGTATGCTTTCTATGCATGTATCCTATGTATCAAGGTGCAAAAATACGGCAACCGAAAAAAACGGGCCGTATTAAACGGCCGTTTTTTTCGGTGATTTGAGGAAAAATACGCCGAATTTTTAATAGACGAAAATGTGCTAAAAAAAAAAAAAAAAAACCCTACTCTGACCAGTAAACAGGTGGGGACAAGTGCCATGGGCTTACTAACGTCAATACAGCATCTAAATGCGGCTACAGATAGAAACGCCTCTACATTCGATAAGTCTACCCCCTCCTCCTCCTACAGGTGTCTACCTCCCCATCCTCATCCTAAGCCTCCCCCTCCTCCTCCTAAACCTCCCCCCTAATGCTCCTAGGCTTTCTTGTGAGCCTCGCCCCCCTAATCCTCCTAAGCCTTCCCCTACTCCTCCAAGTGTCTACTCGTCGTCCTCCTCCAAATGGCTCCTCCTCCTCTTCCTCCTCAGCCCCAACCCCCTCAACCCTAAAATGCTGAGCGAACAATTTCCCAACAGCGCGAGCAAACCCAACCACATAACAAGACCTCGATTGGCAATTATAAACCTAGTACACCTCCCATAAAAAAAAACGACCGTATAATACGACCGTTTTTTTGCACACACATGAAAACGCACCCAAGACCGTTTTTTCCGTATTAAACGGTCATATATTTCGGTACAGTATGATACGGGCTAAAAAGGAAAAATACGCCATTTTTTTGTACCTTGCTATGTATGCTATGTATGCTATGTATGCTATGTATGCATGTGTGCTATGTATGGTATGTATACATGTATGCTATGCATGGTATGTATGCTATCTATGCATGTATGCTATGTATGCTACGTATGGTACGTATGCTTTCTATGCATGTATGCTATGTATGCTATGTATGCATTTGTGCTATGTATGCTATCGATGCTATGTATGCATGTGTGCTATGTATGCTATCGATGCTATGTATGCTATGTATGCTATGTATGCATGTGTGCTATGTATACTGTCGATGCTATGTATGCATGTGTGCTATGTATGCTATCGATGCTATGTATGGTCTGCTGTCATGGCACTGCCTTATCAACGACCAAGGCATGGTGTTTAAAGGCTATAACCACTACCACCACGGGCTGCTGTGCAGATATGCATGTTCTGATGCATGTATGCCATTAATGTCTTTGTCAACGACCGAGGCATGGTGTTTGATGGCGTGTACCACTACCGCCATGGGCTGCTGTGCAGATATGTTAATTGTATACAATTCATGTTGTATACCCCTCAATGAGTGTATTCAGCTATGCAGGTATGTATGCATGCAGGGATGGGTCATGGATGCATGTATGTATTATGTATGCCCCTGTTTCCAGGTCCTGCTCTCTCTACTTCGGTCTGTACACGGGCAACGGAACCAAGGCATGTGTATACCCTCACCTCCAGTCCCTTCACCTCTCTTTCTCCCCCTTTCGCCTTCCCTCCCCATTTCCAGGCCTTGTCCTCTGGACTTTGGCCGATATACCTTTTGAGTCAGCTCAAAATGAGTCGGCTCAAAAGTATTTTCAACGAAACAGAGTGCACATGTGCAGCGAGCCTCAAAAGGCCCTGCCCCTTAGACTTTGAGGCGCCTCAAAAGGCCCTGCCCCTTAGACTTTGAGGCGCCTCAAAAGGCCCTGCTCCTTAGACTTTGAGGCGCCTCAAAAGGCCCTGCCCCTTAGACTTTGAGGCGCCTCAAAAGGCCCTGCCCCTTAGACTTTGAGGCGCCTCAAAAGGCCCTGCCCCTTAGACTTTGAGGCGCCTCAAAAGGCCCTGCCCCTTAGACTTTGAGGCGCCTCAAAAGGCCCTGCCCCTTAGACTTTGAGGCGCCTCAAAAGGCCCTGCCCCTTAGACTTTGAGGCGCCTCAAAAGGCCCTGCCCTTTAGACTTTGAGGCGCCTCAAAAGGCCCTGCCCCTTAGACTTTTAGGCGCCTCAAAAGGCCCTGCCCCTTAGACTTTGAGGCGCCTCAAAGGCCCTGCCCCTTAGACTTTGAGGTGCCTCAAAAGGCCCTGCCCCTTAGACTTTGAGGCGCCTCAAAGGCCCTGCCCCTTAGACTTTGAGGCACCTCAAAAGGCCCTGCCCCTTAGACTTTGAGGCACCTCAAAAGGCCCTGCCTTTTAGACTTTGAGGCGCCTCAAAAGGCCCTGCCCCTTAGACTTTTAGGCGCCTCAAAAGGCCCTGCCCCTTAGACTTTGAGGCGCCTCAAAGGCCCTGCCCCTTAGACTTTGAGGTGCCTCAAAAGGCCCTGCTCCTTAGACTTTGAGGCGCCTCAAAAGGCCCTGCCCCTTAGACTTTGAGGCGCCTCAAAAGGCCCTGCCCTTTAGACTTTGAGGCGCCTCAAAAGGCCCTGCCCCTTAGACTTTGAGGCGCCTCAAAAGGCCCTGCCCCTTAGACTTTGAGGCGCCTCAATAGGCCCTGCCCCTTAGACTTTGAGGCGCCTCAAAAGGCCCTGCCCCTTAGACTTTGAGGCGCCTCAAAAGGCCCTGCCCCTGAGACTTTGAGGCGCCTCAAAAGGCCCTGCCCCTTAGACTTTGAGGCGCCTCAAAAGGCCCTGTCCCTTAGACTTTGGCCTGTACACACGCAACGAGACCAGACAAGGTCCACGTGTACAGCGTGCTGCTGGCATTGCTCAAGGACTCCTTCTCTTCCCCGCTTTCTTCCCCTCCTCCCCAGGTCCTGCCCTCTGGACTTTGGCCTATACACGGGCAATGAGACCGAGGTGCGCGTGTACAGTCAGCTGCTCTTATTGGCCAATATCTCCCTCTCTTCTCCCTCTTCCCTCCCGTTGCTCACCTCTCTGACCCCCTCCTTAGGTCCTGCCCCTTGGACTTTGGCCTGTACACGGGCAACGAGACCAAGGTCCACGTGTACAGTGAGCTGCTCTCATTGGCCAACTGGAACGGAGGCAACTTCTACCACTCGCTGCTCGAGGTTATGCCGTCCCTGCTCTACCTGCGGCCGTTCCTGGAAGCAAAGCCGGACATTCCAATCCCAATGAAGATCGATCAGGTGCGATGAGAGACGCCTCTTCACGTGGCTGACTGGTGCCTTCCCGGTGGATTCTTGCCATTTCTATCCACCACTCGCTGTTGAGGTCATGCCATCGTCCCTGCTCTACCTGCGACCCTTCCTGGAAGCAACGCTGAACATTCCAATCCCAATGAAGGTCGATCAGGTGAGATGAGATGCCTCTTGACGTGGCTGGCTGGCTGCCCCCTTCCCAGTGGAGTGTTCCCCCCCCCTGTGTTTTGTACTGCCATCAATCTGTCAACCCACAACTTCGAGACGGCCCACCTGTGTTTCCAAAGAATCACCTTTTCTTCTCCCTCCCATCCCCCTCTCCCCTTCCCCCCACCCCCCACCCCCCACCCGCTCCTTTCCCGCCCTCTTGACCTTCCAGGACAAGCACGCACATATCATATGAATTCCTCATCCCTCAACTGCAAGACATTCCCCAAGGATCACCTCCTCTTCGCTCTCCTATCCCCCTTGCCCTCCCCACTCCCTGTCTCTCTCCCTCCCTCTCCTTATCCCAGGACAATCATGCACACATCGTCTCCCTCCCTCATCAATGTCAACTCCGCAACCACGCCATTCGCTCCTCCCCTCCCCACCTCTATCCCAGGACAAGCACGCACACATCTTCTTCCGCATGAACTCTTGAGGCAACTCAAAAGTCAAGCACGCACACATCTTCTTCCGGATGAACTCTTGAGTCGACTCACAAGTCAAGCACGCACACAGCTTCTTCCGCATGAACTGCTCAGATGCTAACGTCATAATTCTAAAAAATCAATTACAGCACAAACGAATCACATCTTCCTCTCTCTTCTTTTCCTCATGCTGACATCCGCACCTGTTTCCCTCCCCGTGCTTGCTTGCAACACAAGCACGCGCACATCTTCTCTCTCATCAACGTCAACTCCTCAACTCTCAACTTCAAGACTGTACGGAAAGACCACCTCCTCTTCGCCCCTCCATCTCCCATGCCCCCCCCCCCGTCTCATAATCTCTTTCCAACCAATCCCCCATCCCAGTACAAGCACGTGCACATGTTTTCTCTCATCGACATCAATTCTTCAACCCTAAACTCCAAGACCGTGCGGAAAGACCACCTCCTTTTCGCCCGCCTCCTCCTCCTGCCGTCCCTTCAACTGTATCCCTCCAACCTCCCCCCAACCCTCCGTCCCTTACACCAGGACAAGCACGCGCACATGTTCTCCCTGGTTGATTGGCATCAACTCTTCAACTCTCAACTTCAAGACTGTTTCCAAGGAAGCACCGCCGTTCTTCTCATGTCCTTCCCCAGTACCCTTCCCCCCCCTCTCTCCGTCCCCCTCCCTCCCCCATCCCAGGACAAGCACGCGCACATGTTCTCCCTAATTGGCATCAACTCCTCAACTCTCAACTTCAAGACTGTACGGAAAGACCACCTCTTCTTCGCCCGCCGCCTCCTCCTACCGTCCATTGCGCAGTGTGGCCGCCCGGCCGCCGCCCTCGTCAGGCACCTGCGCAACCACTACCTGCTCCCGCCGTCCGCGCCCAGAATCAAATCTCGAGATGAGCTGGCACACTTTTCTGGTTATGCTTCCGATACTGCTTTAGACTCCACCGATGCACCTACGGGTGGTGGTGGTGGTGCTGCTGCTGCTGCTCCAGATGCTTCTACGGCTGCTGGTGCCGGTCCGGGTGGTGCTGGGGTTGCTGCAGGAGCCGGTGTGTTGGCGGTGCCTGATTGGTGCGTGGTGGTGGGGCAGAGGGACACCACGAGGAGGATTGTGGGGCGGACACACATTCTGGAGGAACTAGAGGCGTTTTTCCCCAAAGAGCGGATCGTGGTGAGTAAAGATGGCCAATGAGACATGGAGGAATTGTGGTGAGTGAGTGAAGATGGTAGTTGTGCTGGGTGGGTGTTTCATGCAGATTGGCACCACGAGGAGGATTGTGGGGCGGACACACATCTTGGAGGAACTTGAGGCGTTCTTCCCCAGAGAACGGATTGTGGTGAGTAAAGATGGCCAATGAGACGGGGAGGAATTGTGATGAGTGAGTGAACCTGCCTAATTGCTGCGTGGTGGTGGGTCAATGTGAATGTGGTGGAATTGATACGAGGAGGATTGTGGGCGAGCACACATTCCGGAGGAGCTTTTTGAGTCGACTAAAAAATCACCTGCGTGGTGATGGGTCAATGTGAGTGAACCTGCCTACGAGGAGGATTGTCGGCAAGCACACATTCCCGAGGAGCTCCAAGCGTTCTTCCGGAGAGAAAGGATCGTGCTGCTGAGTACAAAAAAGGGGTGTGCTCTCCTGTGCTCCTTGTGCTCTCCTGTGCTCCTTGTGCTGAACTCGGTGGGAATGGTTTAGAGAACTCTGAGCGAACTCGCATGCTGGAGGACTGGAGGCATTTTCCCAAGAGAGAGTATCGTGGTGAGTCAAGTGGGACAGGCGAACTGTCAAGTGGTGAGTCAAGTGGGACAGGCGAACTGTCAAGTGGTGAGTCAAGTGGGACACTGGTGAGTGTGGGAACGAGTGTGCTGTGCTGTGCGCTTTGCTTAACTCAGCGCGACACAATGAGGAGCGTTGTGGGGAGAACGTGCATTCTGGACAAACTGGAGGCATTTAGAATTCTCAAAAGCCGAACTGGAGGCATTTAGAATTCTCAAAAACCGAACTGGAGGCATTTAGAATTCTCAAAAACCGAACTGGAGGCATTCTTTTCGAGACAAAGGGTTTTGGTGGGAGAAACTACCATGTGTGATGTCTCTGTGTTCAACTCAGAATTGTGGTGAGTGAGTGAACCTGCCTAGTTGGTACGTTGTGGTGTGGCAGCAGCACGACCCAACGAGGGTGCCCCACGTGGTGTTGTGTTGTATCTGGCAATGCCCCACCACTACATACACCTCTTGGATAAGCTGGAAGCATTTTTTCGGAAGGAAGGGATTGTGAAATCAAAGCAGCGTGGTGCGCTGCATCTTCTACTCCGCACGGCACCGCAAATATCCTCACCGTCTTTCCGTTCCTTTGCCCCTTTCTCTGTCCTTCATGCCAAGTGACCGTCCTTTCCCTGAAGCTAACCGCGCTCGACTCTAGTGGCCAATATGGTGTTCATGCTTCTTTCTCCTCTCCCTCTGTGTGTCTAAACAAACCAGGTGTTTCACGGTGACTTGCCCCTCATGCTTCTCTCATGGCCAATACTGTCTTCTTGTTTCTTTGTGCTCTGCTTATGACCGTTGCATCCAGGTGTTTCGAGGGGACCTCCCTCTACCCGAAGCCAAGCAGCTGTTCAACCGCGCTCGACTCTTCATCACCCCCCACGGTGCTCTCATGGCCGATATGGTCCTCATGCTTCCATTTACTCTGTTGTGTCTCTCATCTCACTGTATTGCACCAGGTGTTTCGAGGGGACCTTCCATTGCCAGAGGCCAAGCAGCTGTTCAACCGCGCCCGCCTCTTCATCACCCCCCATGGGGCTCTCATGGCCAATATGGTCTTCATGCCGCCCGGTGGATTTGTGCTTGAAGCGAGGCCGGAAGAGTTTAATAATAATCTATACGATTATTTGGCTTATGTTAGTGATTTGCATTATTATTTGGTGAAGGGTGTAGGCAGTAAGGATACAGATATTAGAGTGGATATGGAGGAGATGGTTGGGGTGGTGGATGTGATTGCGAAGAAGCTGATAGCACAAGGGTTGTAGTGTACATGATGGCATAAAATAGTGCTCTTTATGTACAGTGCAGCTGCTGGTGCTAATGAGTCCACCCAACACTATGCTCTCTGTTCCACTTAGCGGAACTCACATCCCATCCCATGCCCCATTCCCTGCAGCTTGGCACTCACCCCACATCCTGTGTTGTCCATGCAGCTCCAGAACAGCTCGCATTGCACGCCACGTAAATGCAGAGTGGGGTTGCTCTGTCGTTCAGACAGACTACGTCACCTTTCAATGTAGGTAAGGCGGAAATGATTACTGCCTACTGGAGGGTACCTTTCAACACTGTCCGGCGAATGGTCTGTTGACCAATCAGCTGCCCCTCTGGGCTGCCCTCCACCGCCCTGCACTGCACTGCACTCCTAAACCTCTGATCTGATCCCTTTCCCAAAGCCCTCTCCTCCCTCATTAGCCCTCAGGTTCAGATCCCACTCGTTGCATCAACCGCACTGCATTAACCATCATCGCACTGCACCGCATTTACGTCAAGGTCTCGTCGCAATAGATTGGAAGAGAATAGAGGGGAATGGCGGGGGGCAGAGTAATGGATGACACCCAAGCCTTGCAATCTGAGGCGTCTCAAAACGATCAGAGGTTGGAGACGTCTCAACTCAACACCCATTCCCAGGCCCGCGGGTGGGAATGGCGGGGAGCAGAGTAAAGGATGACACCCCACCCCAGGCCTTGCGGTCGTGCCCATGGGTGGGAATGGCAGAGGGTGGCATGGGTAGAGATGACTGGAGAGAGAAGAGAGGGAGGGGGGAGAGGTAGGGGAGGGTGGGTGGTGAGGGTGAGGTAGAGGGGGGAGGATGAAGAGGGTGGGTGGTGAAGAGGGTGGGTGGTGAAGAGGGTGGGTGGTGAAGAGGGTGGGTGGTGAAGAGGGTGGGTGGTGAAGAGAGTGGTTACTGCGGGTGAGGTGGAAGCAGGTGTGGGCCAGAAATGTAGATAGGGTAGGGGGGAGCGAGGGGCGAGGAAGGAACCTGGAGGAAGAAACCTGGAGGAAGGAACCTGGAGGAAGAAACCTGGAGGAAGAAACCTGGAGGAAGGAACCTGGAGGAAGGAACCTGGAGGAAGGAACCTGGAGGAAGGGGATTCACCGATGAGGCGGATTAAGATTTTATAGGAGAGGTGTTGTGGCGGGGGAAAGGGGGGGCCGGGGGAGGGGGGGGGGGACAGGAGGGGAGAGGGGGGCAAGAGGGGGGATGGAGGGAAGGGGGGAGAAAGAGTGGAAGGGAATTGAGCTGCTGCTGACAGTCTGTACAGAATACCCCAAGACTTATATCTCGGATGCAGTACAGAAACAAAATAGGTTTCTTATGCTGAAATAATGCTTTTAGAAACACACTTCACAAATAACCAATTCCCCTCACTCAAATATCTCGAAACCCTAAAAGCACGACCAATCCACTGTAACACATCACTTCTGGTAACCGTCGCCAGGGCAATCGTTCAGATGTCGCTCCTGCCCGTAGAAATACCACTTCCCAGGGGTCGGCGGAGAATACTCCGCGGAAGCCCCGCTTGCGCTTCCCCCCGTCCCCGCAGCCTCCCCGACCGCCTCCCCCGAAGCCTCCGCGCTCGCTCCGCCTCCGCGGATCTGCTCCGTGAGCTGCGCAACTGTCAGAGTTTCCTTCTTAGTCTCGAATACCGCGCGGCGCCGCTCCCGGTCGTGGTACTTAATATTAAAGACGCGGTCGAGATCGCTCTGCGGAATGGACGCCTTGGCGGGCGGGTTGGTGGGCGCAAAGGGGCGGTACTCCCCGAGCACGGGGACGGACTCGCGGAACTCCGCGGACGCGGTGGGGCCGGTGTAGTTCCACGGCGGGCGCACGTACTTGGCGAGCGCCTGGCGCGCGCGCGAGAGGAGGGAGGTGCTGGCGGGGGGAGCCATGGCGGATGAGAATCGGCGGAGGAACGGCGGAAGGAGGGCGCGACGTAGTCTGTGTACGGATATGAGTTGTGGATTCGGGACGGAAAGGGCGGACGCGAAAAGTGTGTGAAGAGAGAGGACGGCGGATGGATGGAATCGGACGGGGCAGCGTGATCGGCGGCGGAAGTGGCGGAAGGAGGGGTCCGACGCGATCCGATGGTTCTGGGCTGCTGCTGTGCTCACTGCTGTCAGAATCTTGGCTGCCTACATCGTAACCCTAAATTGGCATGGTTCGAGCTTCGGAGGGTTTGAATGGAAAAATATATATCGCTGTAGCCCTAACGTCAGACCACGTTAACAGTAACGAATCACTCTCTGTAACTCCTCCAATATGAGAGATTTTTCTCCGATACAACCATTTAACACAGCTCTTCACAAATGTTCGCTGCTTATGAATTTTGGCATTTCATTCTCAATCCATCCATTCCCATGCATCATTGCTTATGAATTTTGGCATTTCGAAGGGATCGGCTGATTTTACTTCTTTCCTCTTCCTTCCATCTGTTTCTGCGGCCAGGCGTTGATGCTCTCTCCTCAACGTGTCGTTGCGGCTAGCCGTTGTTACTCTCATAGACCGTAGCGGCCAGCTCTCACGCATGGCGGCATCGCAACAAGCAGCAATGCAACAAGCAGCATCGGCAATGTCACTAAATTCCTCCCCCGGCTTAGGGTCGGGCGATCTAAGTTTCGCAGCTTCGTTTAGAGATTCCCGCAAGTTAAGAAGCAACAGCGGTCTAAGTTTCCCGCAACGCGAAAATACTTCTCCGTGGTCTCTAGTTCGTTCTCCTGCGTCAAGCTTCAGCCAATCAGCTTCTGCCACGCAGACACGAGCAGGTGGCTATAGGGAGTCAGCTTCGCGCCATCTTCCACATTCACGGCCGTCAAATCCGCTCTTAGTCACACCCGAGGGTCAGCAGCGAGGGAATCCGCGGCACTCTCGTTATAGCATCGTCGCTGCGGCTGCTGGCGCTGGTTCGACGAAAGCTGCTGCGAAGGACGAAGGAGGGGAGGAGGATTTGAAGCAGGCTCACAAACTGTTTGACCAGGTGCGCCCTCCGTTGACCTACGTTGACCGTAGTTGACTGAACATGTCTTTGGGTCGTCCCAACAGAAGGACGAAAGGGGGGAGGGGAATCTGAAGCAGTCGCACAAACTGTTCGACCAAGTGAGACCGCCGGTGACCTACGTTGACAGACTAGCGTGATTTCGGAGGGTGCCATTGCGTGTGCCATTGCGTGTGCCATTGCGTGTGCCATTGCGTGTGCCATTGCGTGTGCCATTGCGTGTGCCATTGCGTGTGCCATTGTTGGTTTCCCCCAAAAAACCTCGGCGTAAACCCTGGGTTGAGCCCAAAACCCTGTACCCTTCATGTCGTTTCCCCTCCCTTCAGGTGGGGGTCCTTGTAAAGGCAGGCGGCGGTGGCATCGGCGCAGTGCTGACCCCCCGAGACCGTGGAAGGCAGGGAGACCCCGCGGCTGAACGCTTTCTCCCCATCCTCTCGTTCCCTTGCTCTTGCATCAGGTGGCGGTCTTTGTCAGGGCAGGCGATGGGGGCATCGGCGCTGTCATGCGCCCACCGCGGCCGTGGAAGGCGGGGGAAACGCCGGGGCCGAACCCTTTCTGCAGTTACCCCCTGTGCAGTTTTGCCCCTCAGGTGGTGGGCTTGGTGAAAGCAAGCGATGGGGTAAATGGGGCACTGCTGCATGCATTGGCCCTTGGAAGGTGGAAGAAACGCCGGGGCTGATCCCAGTGGTGGTATTCCTTTCTCTATTCCTTTGTTACCTCCCTCTATCCAGGTGGTGGTCTTGGTGAAGACAGGTGGTGGGGGAAACGGCGCAGTGCTGCACCCTCCGCGGCCGTGCAAGTGGGGGAAACGCCGGGGCTGAGCGCTCCTTCCCCCTTTCCCGCCCCTTTCCCGCCCCTTTCGCGGCTGTGGAAGGCGGGGAAAATGCGGGGGATGAAATCTATCTCCCCACTCTCCCCCTTCCCCTTGCAATCAGGTGGTGATATTCGTGAAGGCAGTGGATGGTGGCAACGGCGCAGTGCTGCACCCTCCAAGACTGTGGAAGGCGGGGGAAACGCCAGGGCTGAACCTTTTCCCCTCGTTCCCGTTCTCTCTATCGCCTTCTCCTTTTCTGTGTTCAGGTGGTGATATTCGTGAAGGCAGGGGATGGTGGCAACGGCGCCGTGCTGCACCCTCCAAGACCGTGGAAGGCAGGAGAAACGCCGGGGCTGAAGGGAGGCAAGCTGAACGCCAGAGAGGCGGAGGAACTGAGGAGGAAGCTTCGCAGGTGAGGGTGGGGAGGGGAGTGAGGGGAGGGGGGAGGGACGTGGGAAACTGCGGTGTGATCTGTTCGAAGGCACTGACAGGACTAGTTGTTTAGAATCCTCACGAACGATCCAGTTCTCACATATGGCCTTGTCATCCCCATCTCCATCCCCTTTCCTATGGGAAGCCGAGAAAGCCAAGGCTATGAAGCGAAGCGAGGGGCGCGGGCGGGCTTGCCATTGTAGCAATGGGGGGCCATGGAGGGGACATTGTGATCCACGTTTATTCCTCCCTCCCTCTCCCCGCTGCTCCTTCTCGCTCCACTCTTCAAAAGAGACTTGGACAGGCTGGCAATTTTAGCAATGGGCGGGCATGGGGTAGACATGGGCAAAAAAAATCGCATCGCATCGCATTTAATCGCGTTTTTGCGATGGCGATGTTTTTTTTTTTTTTTTTTTTAATCATCACGCGATGCGATGAATTAATATCGCGCGATTTAATTTAAATCGCATTTTAATCGCGCTAAAAAACGCGATTTAAATGCGATATGCGATTTTTTTTTTAAATCGCGCGCTATATTGCACTGAAACCCACTCTGAAACCCACTACGAAACCACACTGGTTATTTGCACTCTAGCTTACGACTGCCCGTGAGTCAATTTCCCCGCAGCCATGTTTTTTTTCTGTTTTTCTGGGGTGTTTTTTTTATTCTGTGTTAAAACGCGATGCGATTTAAAATCGCATTGCGCGATTTAATTAAATATCGCATGCGATTTTTTAATACATCGCGGGTAAAATGGGATTTGCGATTTTTTTTTTTTGAAAAATAAATCGCGATGCGATTTTAAATCGCATCGCTTTTTTAAACATCGCACCTGCATGCGATGCGATTTAAATCGCAATCGCGTTTTGATCATGTCTAGCATGGGGGGGACATTGTGATCCAAATTCCTTCCTCCTCCCGTCCCTCTCTCCACGCTGGTGCCGCTGCACAGGGTCTCCTCGTCCCCATCCCCTTTCCCATGCGTTTGTCCCGCAGGAAAGAGGCAGAAATAGCCAAGGCGACGAAGAGGGTGGGCAGCTTTATGAGAGATGCAGACGGGCTTGCCATCGTGCCCATGGGGGGGCATGGGGGGGACATTGTGATCCACGCTGACCTTGCAGGGTGTTTTTGAGAATTCTCAAAAACACCCTGCATGGGGGGGACATTGTGATCCACGCTGACCCCTCCCTCTCCACGCTGCTGCCTTTCTCTCCGTGCTCGGCTTTCTCTCTTCCCACTTGCAGGAAAGAGGCCGAGAAGGCCAAGGCGATGAAGAAGGTAGGAGCTTCAAAAGAGACGCCGACGGGCTGGCAATAGTACCAACGGCGGGCACGGGGGGTACATTGTGATCTACGCTGATCCCATCCCACCCTCTCCACGCTGCTCCTTCTCACTCCACTCTCCCTGCCCCCTCTTTCTTCCCTGCAGGAAGGAAACCGAGAAGGCTAAGGCGATGAAGAGGGTAGGGAGCTTCAAGAGGGACGCGGACGGGCTGGCGATTGTACCAATGGGCGGGCACGGGGGGGACATTGTGATCTATGCGGACCCCACCCTCTCCACGCTGCTGCCGCTGCACCGCAAGAAGCGCCACGTGGCAAGGAGTGGGGGGCACGTGGACGCCAAGGGAGGGCTGGCGAGGCGCGTGCCTGACGGATTGCAGGGCCCTGTGTTGCGGATAGGCGTGCCTGTGGGTAAGCGAGACAGACGCATCCCTGTGGATAGGTAACGCCGGCACTCTATGCACACCCCTCTACCCCTCTACCCCTCTCTATCACTCTCACTCACTTCTCTCTCTCCGCACTTAGCTTCTGCAACACAAGAACTGCACGTGGCAAGGAGCGGGGGCCACGTGGACGCCAAGCATTGGCTGGCCAGACGCGTGCCTGACGGATTGCAGGGCCCTGTAGTACTGCGGATAGGCGTGCCTGTGGGTAAGACACATCAGCAGACCCTCCCTTACGAGATGGGCTGCCAAGGCGTTTACCTGACTGACAGGTTGCAAGGCCCCGTTGCGAATAGGCGTGCCTGTGGGTAAGACACATCAGCAGACCCTCTCTTAAGTGTTGGGCTGGCAAGGCGCGTGCCTGACGGGTTGCAGGGCCCTGTCCTGCGAATAGGCATCTCTTGGGAATGGATGATGCGACATGGCTAGGGGGGATTGTTTTGCCGTAGCGGAGCCCCTAGGGGAGCTCCAGTAGGATAGGTTCCTCCCCTCCCCTCCCCCCCTCCCCTCCCCCCTTCCCTCCCCCCCTCCCCTCTCCCCCTCCCCTCCCCCTCTCCCCTCCCAAAGCTTAGCGATGCTCTCTCTCTCGCTCTGACTGCTGGCAGAAAGCTCCTCTCTTTCTGCCTGCAGACCCTTCTGAAGTTCCGTGGTTGCATGATACCATCGCTCTTCTCTCCCTACGCTCGTGCCGCTGCCCCGCAAGGGGCAGGCACGTGGCAAGGAGGGGGGGTACGTGGACGCCAGGGGGACGTGTGAAAGGCCCATATTTGCAGGTTATTGAAGGATCCAGGGGGGCGCGTTACTTACTTCCCTCCAGATCTTGAAGGATCTGGTCGATGCAAATTTAGGTGACTTTTGAGTCGACTCAAAAGTCACCTACAGGTTATTGAAGGGGGGCGCGCTACTTCTCTGCAGACTCCACGTCTTGAAGGATCTGGTCGATGCAAATTTTCCCTCCCTTTTCGCCATCCCCATCCCCATCCCCATCCCCATCCTCATACCCACTCCCCCTTACCCCCACACACATCAGGCACATTGGTGAAGCGCAAGAGGGGCAGCAAGTTCCTGGCCGATCTGGTCTACTCTTATCTTATCTCCCCTTTCTCCTTGACCCTATCCCTCCTCGCTCTTTCCCTTCTCACCCCCCCCTCCCCCCCCCCCCAACACACATCAGGCACAGTGGTGAAGCGCAAGAGGGGCGGCAAGTTCCTGGCGGATCTGGCAAGCCCAGGGGATGAGGTGGTGGTGGCGCGAGGGGGCAGAGGAGGGGTGAGTACTAGGTTAGAAACTGGCAAGAGCTCTGTGTTGCTCTTTCCCTCACCTGTTCCCCCACTCGCTCTCTCACTTGTTCTGGTAAGAATTGAGCCGTCCGCTTCTGCTTTCCCACGCTCCTGCTGGCCCATTCTCCCCCTTCTCTGCAACACACACCCACACGTGCAGATCAGCATTTATGAAGTCCGTGCATCCAACAAAGCGGATCCGTATCCTCTGTGATGGTGCACTGAGCTATGGACTCAAAGCTGATTGCGGACGCAGGCAGGCCCCTGGATGGACTCAACTCAACATTCGTCTGTCTGAGGCAACTGCTGAGGCGCCTCAAAAGAACGTTTTCCTTCACTATAGCCCGCTCTCCAACACACAACCTCAACTGCAGATCAGCGCTTATGAAGCTCCGACTCCAGAAGCCGCAGGACACTCTCTTTGCCGTGACCACTAACCATGCATCCTTCCCCCACTAAGCCTCCCACCCCCTTCCTCCCCCCAACACACACCCGCAGATCAGCGTGTATGAAGTCCCTGCGCCCAACAAGGCTCACCTTTGCCCCGTCATGGCACCAGCAGGCGCTGTATACACTCTTTCCTTCCTCATTATGCCTGTCCCCCTCCCCCCTCCCTACTCCCCCCAACACACACCCACCCACAGATCAGCGTGTATGAAGTCCCTTCGTCCAACAAGGCGCATCTCCGCCCCGTCAAGGCGCCAGCAGGAACTACTGTGATGACTGCTCCTGAAGATAAGGTGGGTGTCAGTGAATGAGGAGGGAAGGTGTGTGTGCATGCTAACAGGGCTTATAACAGGGCTCTAACAGGGCTTATAACAGGGCTCTAACAGGGCTTATAGCAGGGCTCTAACAGGGCTTATAACAGGGCTCTAACAGGGCTTATTCACTGGTCTGGTCGTGTTTGACTATCACGATTCACGGCAGCCAAAAGCCAAACTCGGCCACGATTAGACACTTTTATTAAGTGATTTAATTGTGCGGCTACAGGTGATTTCTGAAAAGTCACTTCTTCAGCAGGGACTAACGAGCCAACGGTGTCTGTCGATTCCAGAACCACCTACTGCTGCCACTGTACGTATGGTATATGTAACAGCTGTTGCTGCGACCGCTGCAATATGCAGGAGAGGGTGTCCAAAGTAGCAAGTAGACGCCCGCTAAGGTTAGCGGATGTCAACCCGCCCCCAAAACTCGACGTCAAACCAGCCGCGCACTCCTACTTAGATTTTGCTAGTTTGGTTGCCCAAGTATACTCTGGACATGTACACTCCGTGAGTGGTTGCCCAAGCGAAAATGTTCCCGCAAATTTTGCGGGAAACATGCCACCTACCGGAAACAATAGCAAACAGAAAAGTTACCAGGAACAGTTGAACAGTACTTCGCAATTTATGTTTGAACGGTTGACCTGTACTTGTTTGTGTGCTTTTCTTCTCCTCCAATCCTCCAAACACATACACACAGCAACTGTCGTACAGCTTGCAAAGCAAAGAAGCAGCGTTGGAGCTGTTATATCAACATCTATTCTCCTCTCTCTTTGGCTGCCCGCCCACCCCTCTGCCCCGCCCTGCTCCCCCCTTCCCCCCTTCCCCCCTTCCCCCTATCCCCCCTTTCCCCCTTCCCCCTTCCCCCCTTCCCCCCTTCCCCCCTTCCCCCCTTCCCCCTTTCCCCCTTCCCCTCTTCCCCCTTTCCCCCTTCCCCTCTTCCCCCTTTCCCCCCTTCCCCCCTTCCCCCCTTCCCCCTTCCCCCCTTCCCCCCTTCCCCCCTTCCCCCCTTCCCCCTTCCCCCCTTCCCCCCTTCCCCCTTCCCTCCTTCCCCCCTTCCCCCCTTTCCCCTTCCCCCTTCCCCCTTCCCCCCTTCCCCCCTTCCCCCTTTCCCCCTTCCCCCTTCCCCCCTTCCCCCCTTCCCCCCTTCCCTCCTTCCCCCTTCCCCCTTGCCTCCTTCCTTCCGACGCGCAGCAACTGACATACGGCTTGCAAGGCGAGGAGGCAGCATTAGAGCTGACACTCAGAGTGGTGGCTGATGTGGGGCTCGTGGTAAGAGATGGGGGGGGGAGTGTGGGGAAGGGGAGGGGAGGGGGGAATTGGGGCTTGCCATATCAGTGATTGGATAACCCATCGGGTGTTGGGTGGGGCTGCTAAGGCGAGGAGGCAACGTTGAAGCTGACCCTGAGAGTGGTGTGGGTGAGGGGGGAGGAGGGGGGGTTCGAGGTACTGGCGGGTGGGGAGGAGGAGGGGGGTCGAGGTACTGGCAGGGCGGGTGGGGAGGAGGAGGGGGTTCGAGGTACTGGCGGGTGGGGAGGAGGAGGGGGTTCGAGGTACTGGCGGGTGGGGAGGAGGAGGGGGTTCGAGGTACTGGCGGGTGGGGAGGAGGAGGGGGTTCGAGGTACTGGCGGGTGGGGAGGAGGAGGGGGGTCGAGGTACTGGCGGGTGGGGAGGAGGAGGGGGTTCGAGGTACTGGCGGGTGGGGAGGAGGAGGGGGTTCGAGGTACTGGCGGGTGGGGAGGAGGAGGGGGGTCGAGGTACTGGCAGGGCGGGTGGGGAGGAGGAGGGGGTTCGAGGTACTGGCGGGTGGGGAGGAGGAGGGGGTTCGAGGTACTGGCGGGTGGGGAGGAGGAGGGGGGTCGAGGTACTGGCGGGTGGGGAGGAGGAGGGGGTTCGAGGTACTGGCGGGTGGGGAGGAGGAGGGGGTTCGAGGTACTGGCGGGGGGGGGGGGGGGGGGGGGGGGGGGGGGGGGGGGGGGGGGCGGGTGGGGAGGAGGAGGGGGTTCGAGGTACTGGCGG